TTTTGCCGATTTTAAAAAAAAAAAGAGAAAAGAAAAAAAAAGGGAATGAACAGAAGCAAAGCAAGGACTGGAGCATACTGAAGGAGGGTAATAATTATTAAACTTTTTCCTCAAATTTATTTTTTTATGCATGGTAGAAGATCCTTGCGTCCAAGGCTAGAAAATCCTTTCATTATTTCAATCAAAACTAAAATCCGAAAGAAAAATTAATTTTGATGGATCCTGAAGGAAGTACAGGTCAAACTGAGAACAATCGTATGGCCATGAAAAATCATTATATCCCTTATTCATTTCAAAGAGCATCAAAATATTAGAGTCCCATTAGCACCCACTATTAAATTTGAAATAAATCCAGGAATTTTTCAAATGCTCTTTAATTTTCATAGATTGACTTTAGAGGAACCTCATCAGCACTTAGAAAAATTTCATATGGTCTGTGATTTAGTTAATCTCCCTCAAGTTACACCGGAAATTATTAAGATGAAATTATTTCCTCATACACTTAGGGACAAAGCTAGTCATTGGCTATCCATATTAGATAGAGAATTAACTAGCTGGAAGGACCAAAACAGGCCTTTCTTCGAAAATTTTATCCCTTAGGTAAAACTCAAAATATGAGAAAACATATATAGAGTTTTTCTCAAAGACCAAGAGAAACTTTACATGAGACATAGGAAACATTCAAAGATTTACTTAGAAAATGTCCTCATCATGCTATACCCAAGTGGTAGCTCAATAGAATTTTTTATGATAGATTATTAGAACAACATAGAAATATGGTTGATTCTATATGTGGAGGAGCTTTTATAGAGAAAACCCCTAATGAGATTTACAGTCTTTATGAGAATTTAAATGAAAATTCTAGAGATCAAGCCTCTTTTGAATTATATGACAGGGATAAGAAGAGAGGAATTTATGAATTGCATCATGATGATGATTCTAAATTTAGAAATGAGGTCAATCAGATTAATCAAAGATTAGAAAAACTTGATTTACTTATTGAGAATATTAGAAAGCTTCCTAACCTTCAATTGAATGCATATAGTGCTTGTCCTAGGTATGGTGAAAATGACCATTTCAAATTTCAATATCATCCTAAGCAAGAACAAGTGCAAGTACCCCACGATTTTAGTAAAAATAGGGAATATTTTTTTAATTCTTATAATCCTAATTGGGGGAATAATTTTTCGTGGAGAAACCCAAATAATATTCAAAATCCAAAAGCACTTAGATCCAATTCAAACTCTGAATTTCGTCCAAAACAAGAAAACAGATTTCAGAAAAATCAGTCCTCTCAAACCCAACCTGATACTATAGATATGATGCAACAAATGAGCCAAATGATGCAACAAACTATGAATCAAATGATGTTGCACCAAAAACAAATTATAGAGGCTTTTGAGAATAGGAGAGAAGAGGGACAGTGATAAGTCTTCATTATCATGAGTTAATAATTAGTAAATAATATAGTTTTAGCCTTAACTCGTGATAAATAGACTTATAATTGTGTTAAAGTGTGAAAAGTGGTTTTCAGTTGATTAATGTGATTTTTTGGGTAATTATGTGATTTTATACAAATTTATCTGATTTTTACAGTCTTATTTTTGAGATAAATGAGGAAAAAGAAATAAAAATATTGCAAAATGGGGGGACCTGCCGGCCAGCCGGGCCCGCAAGCGAGTCGGAAGCGCAGTCGGGAGTAGCCACGAGCAGGGGCTCAAGCGGCTTAAGCTTGGACCGATAGGGGCACGTGTGCGCCACTCCCCTTCCACGTCACCGGTGGCCAGCCGGCTGTGGGGCAAAGAGTGGTCGTACACGCGAGAGAAGGGACTTTGCCTAAAAAGCTAACATTACTATATATTTGCCTGAAAAATTGGCGCACAACCGATGTGGGACTAAACCCGCGTCACACCTTCCTCAGAAGGGGCGGACAACCGGCGCGGGTTCAAATCCTCCCAGAGTCAAAATTCATATATTTTTATCTGATTATCGCGACTTTCTTGCAGATCGCCGGTGAAGGATTAAGCAACCAGAATCGCTGGATCATCGGCGAAAATCTCGTCAACGCGATTTGCGGAGCATTGCTACTAAAATTGCTGAACGATTCGCGATAAAAGGATCGCGAATCCATCGAGTAAATCATCTCCGATTGATCGACGAACAAGCCGTCGTCGGGAAGAGGACGATCCGCCGAGAGACGAGTCGCCACCTCCTGAGAGCGTACCAGATGCGATGAAGAGCCTCCTCTTGCTACGCGGACCTGAGGATGAAGCTCCCTGACACGCGCCCCACCTCCATCCAGCTCCTCTCCGTCAGGTGACAGCCACCGGAGAGCCGCAAAGTCGTCGTTTTTCCGCTCCGCCGGGTGACAGCCGCCGGAGATGATTCGACGACCCACTTCATTGATCTCTAGACTTCGCGAGAAGATCTAGATATTGCCCACGTTGTCTTTGTCCAAGGAGAGCCTTCGAGGCCGTGGACACTACACGACGATCCTCCCCAACGCTCAGGATTCCGGTGCATCGCCGACGCATCGCCGTCGCGACGCCAGAACTCTGTTTTCCTGCTTTCAACTTACTTTACGCTTCATTTAGTGATAGTTTTTGTGATTTTAATTTACCAAAATATACTTTGTTCTATTATGATTCTTCCGGCTTTTATAGATCTTAATTTGATTAATTAAATCATCTGAAATCGCTTACGTAAGAATCGCCAGGCGGAACTCTGTTTCCGCCCGATTCGCGTTCGCCAGGTGTTGACGTCATCCTGACGCCCGCACCCTTATTTCCCTTTTTCGTGAATTTTAAATATATTTCCTTTTTTTTCCCTAGTATAAAATTCATAGAAAATCGTATTCATTGAGAAAAATTCTGAATAATTACTAGATATTATATTACATCCCTGTGATCGACCTGGAAAATTACCGCTATTTTTGAAATTTTTATTGAATTATAATTGATATATTTATTTAGAAATACTTCTAAATATCTGAAAATTCGTATTTTCTAGTTTTATAAATTTTATATTTGCGTGATTTAATATACAACGACTAAGTCACGTCAAATTTTGGCGCCGTTGCTGGGGATGTATTGCATAATATTTAGTATTTTTCTATTTTTCTCTTAGAGTACACAAAAAAAAACTTAACTCTTGTTTTATTTTCTTTTTGCCAATTTTTATTAGAAAAAGGGAACGAAAAGAAGCACGGCAAGGACTGGAGCATCCTAAAGGAGGGTAACAGTTACTAACTTTTTCCCTCGAATTGATTGATTTTTATGCATGGTAGAAGATCTTTGCATCCAAGGCTAGAAAATCCTTTCAAAAATAAAAATCCGAAAGAAAAATTAATTTTGATGGATCCTGAAGGAAGTACAGGTCAAACTGAGAACAATCTTATGGCCATGAAAAATCATTATATCCCTGATTCATTTCAAAGAGCATCTAATATTAGAGTCCCATTAGCACCCACTATTAAATTCGAAATAAATGCAGGAATTTTTCAAATGCTCCCTAATTTTCATGGATTGCCTTTAGAGGAACCTCATCAGCACTTAGAAAAATTTCATATGGTCTATGATTTAGTTAATCTCCCTCAAGTTACACCGGAAATTATTAAGATGAAATTATTCCCTCATACACTTAGGGACAAAGCTAGTCATTGGCTATCCACATTAGATAGAGAATTAACTAGCTAGAAAGATATAGAACAGGTCTTTCTTCGAAAATTTTATCCCTTAGGAAAAACTCAAAATATGAGAAAACATATATGGAGTTTTTCTCAAAGACCAGGAGAAACTTTGCATGAGACATGGGAAAAATTTAAAGATTTACTTAGAAAGTGTCCTCATCATGCTATACCCAAGTGGTAGCTCAATAGAATTTTTTATGATGGATTATTAGAACAACATAGAAATATGGTTGATTCTATATGTGGAGGAGCTTTTATGGAGAAAACTCCTGATGAGATTTACAATCTTTATGAGAATTTAAGTGAAAATTTGAGAGATCAAGCCTCTTTTGAATTATATGACAGGGATAAGAAGAGAGGAATTTATGAATTGCATCATGATGATGATTCTAAACTTAGAAATGAGGTTAATCAGATTAATCAAAAATTAGAAAAAATTGATTTACTTATTGACAATATTAGAAAGCCTTTTAACCCTCAACTTAATTCGAATAGTACATGTCCTATGTATGGTGAAAATGATTATTCTGAATTTCAATGTTATAATTTAGATCAATCATTTCACCCTATGCAAGAACAAGTGCAAGTAGCTCACGGTTTTAATAGAAACAGGGAACCTTTTTCAAATTCTTATAATCCTAATTGGAGGAATAATTTTTCATGGAGAGACCCAAATAATATTCAAAATCCAGAAGCACTTAAACCCAATTCAAACTCGGAATTTTGTCCAAAACAAGAAAACAGATTTCAAAAAAATCAGCCCTCTCAAACCCAACCCGATACTATGGAAATGATGCAGCAAATGAGCCAAATGATGCAACAAACTATGAATCAAATGATGCAGCACCAGAAACAAATTATAGAGGCCCTTGGGAATAAGAGAGAAGAGGGACAGCTACCTAGTCAGCCCATAGAAAATCCAGGGAACCGCGCAACAATAGGATTTCAGCAAGGGGAGTCTAGTAGTATGAATCTAGGAAAAAACCCACGAAATGAAAATGTTAGGACAGTGAATGCATTAAGGAGTGGTAAGATCTTACCTGATCCTTATCCCCAAACATTAGAAGAAAAAGAAAACGTGGACAACCTAAAACAAAATCAAATAGGAGTAGAAGAGGATTTTATAGATTCTACCAAGGAAATTTCGAAAGAGAGGACAACCATTCCATTTCCTAAAGCTCTAGAGCCTAGACAAAGAAAGAAAAAGGAACACAATGAAGAAATAAAGAAAATTTTATAAGATGTGCAAATTAGTCTTCCTTTACTCACTGCCATTGAACATATTCCTGAATATGCTAGAGTTTTGAAAGAAATGTGTACACCAAAAAGGGCACCTAGAGTAGAAAAATTATCTATGCATGCTAGTGCATTATTATTAAATCAATTACCATATAAATTGAGAGATACAGGTGCCCCTTTAATTTCGTGTGATATTGGTGGATTCATTTTTCAGAATGCATTACTTGACACCGGTGCTAGTATTAATTTATTACCTGCAAGTATTTGCGATAAATTTAATATTTCTGATCTTAAACCTTCTACTGTTACCTTACAATTTGCTGATAGATCCATAAAACATCCTAAAGGTATTTTAGAAAATGTGATAGTGACAGTTAAAGGGTGTAAATTTCCAGCTGATTTTGTAGTGCTGGAAATGGATTTTAATGGACAGTTTTATGATACACCAATCATCCTAGGGAGACCATTTTTGCATACAGCAAAGATGAATATTGATTTTCCCACAGGTATTGCAAAAATTTCATGTGGAGATCAATCAGTAGAAATTAAAATTTTTGAGGTACCAAATGATCTTAAGAAATCACAAGTATATGATTGTCATACCATAGATCTTCTAGATGATTTTGATGATCCAGATGTTATTGATGACTGTGTGCTGGAAGAATTAGAGGAAATAGAGAATATAAATTTGGGAGAAAAGAAAGAGGAAGATCATCTGAAATTTACAGTTGAAACCTCTTCCCTCTAGTTTAAAATATATATTTTTGGAGGAAATTAATTCATTTCCTGTAATTATCGCAGCTGATTTGAGTGATGAACAAAAAGAAGAATTATTAGATGTACTTCGAAAAAATAAGAAGGCTATGGGCTGGAAAATGGACGATCCAAGGGGCATTGATATGAGTGTATGCATGCATAGTATATATCTAGAGGAGGGGGCCAGAACTAGCAGGGAACCACAACGAAGATTAAATCCTAACATGATGGAAATTGTAAAAAAAGAAATTTTAAAGTGGCTGGCTGCTGATATTATTTATCCTATTTCAGATAGCAAATGGGTTAGTCCTACACAAGTAGTGCCAAAACAATCAGGGATCACGGTTATAAAAAACGAAAATGGGGATGAAATACAAACAAGATTAACTACCGGTTGGAGGGTTTGCATTGATTATAGAAAATTAAATTCAGTTACTAGAAAAGATCATTTTCCCCTACCATTTACTGATCAAATTCTAGAAAAATTAGCTGGAAAAAACTTTTTTTGTTTTCTGGATGGATACTCTGGTTATAATCAAATTTATATAAACCCTTTAGATCAAGAAAAAACAACTTTCACTTGTCCATTTCGTACTTTTGCTTTTAAACGCATGCCTTTTGGTCTGTGTGATGCTCCAGCCACATTTCAAAGATGTATGCTGTCTATTTTTTCTGATATGATTGGAAAATGCATGGAAATTTTTATGGACGATTTTTCTGTTTTTCGTGAATCATTTGATGAATGCTTAAATCATTTACAGCATGTACTTGAGAAATGCATAGAGAAAAAATTAGTTTTGAGTTGGGAGAAATCACATTTTATGGTTAAAGAGGGAGTTGTGTTGGGTCATATTGTGAGTGAAAGGGGTTTAGAGGTGGATAGAGCAAAAATTGATATTATATCTAAAATGAAACTTCCAAATTCAGTAAAACAAATTAGATCTTTCTTGGGTCATGCAGGTTATTACAGAAAATTTATTCAAGATTTTTCGAAGATTTCAAAACCTCTCACCATGCTATTATCTAAAGATGTGCCTTTTAATTTTGATGAGAAATGTTTTGAGTCTTTTTTCGAAATAAAAAGATTACTTACTGAGGCACCCATTTTACAAGTTCCTGATTGGTCCCTTCCCTTTGAAATAATGTGTGATGCATCCAATTATGCAATGGGGGCCGTTCTAGGACAAACAAAAGAGTCAAAACCCATAGTAATTTCATATGCTAGTAAAACTATATCTGATGCTCAATTAAATTATACCACGAATGAAAAAGAGTTGTTAGTTGTAGTATTTTTGTTAGAAAGGTTTAGATGATATATTTTGGGAGCTAAAATTATTATTTATACTGATCATGCAGCATTAAAATATCTGTTAAATAAGAAAGATGCAAAGCCACATTTATTAAGATGGATTTTATTGTTGCAGGAATTTGACTTAGAAATAAAAGATAAAAAAGGTTTCGAGAATGCTATTGCTGACCATCTTTCTAGATTAAGTGACACAGGAATAAATGCAGCACCTTTACAAGATGCATTTCCAGATGAACAATTGATGGCAGCTCAACATCAACCATCACCATGGTATGCACATATTGTAAATTTTCTGGTTTCTGGAAAAACTCCAAAACAGTGGGATAAGAACAGAAAACATCATTTCTTGTCTAAGATTAGAAATTATTTTTGGCATGATCCTGATTTATATTACTTGGGCAATGATCAAATTTTAAGGAGATGTGTTCCTGAAGAAGAATACCATAGCATTATTAACATGTGCCATTCATCTAATTGTGGAGGAGACTTCTCTGGACGAAAAACAGCTGCAAAAAATTTTCAGTGTGGTTTTTATTGGCCTACAATCATTAGAGATTCTATAGAATTTAGTAGAACATGTATTTCATGCCAATCTATAGGTAACATGAGTAAAAAAGATGAAATGCCCATGAGTAACATGTTAGTAGTCGAAATTTTTGATGTATGGGGAATAGATTTCATGGGTCCCTTCCCATCAGCTGAAAAATATGAATATATTTTGCTTGCTATTGATTATGTGTCGAAGTGGGTGGAAGCTATTCCTACTAGAACTAATGATCATAAAATCGTGATGAAATTTGTGCAAGAAAATATTTTTTCGAGATTTGGATGTCCTAGAGTGATTATTAGTGATGGAGGAACACATTTTACAAATAAAAATTTCAGAGAACTGTTGAAAAAGAATGGAGTACACCATAGAGTAGCCACTCCATATCATCCCCAAACAAATGGGCAAGCTGAAGTAGCAAATAGGGAAATTCAGAGAATTTTGAGAAAAATAGTTAGACCAGATAGGAAAGATTGGCTCACAAAATTACAAGATGCATTATGGGCTTATAGAACAGCTTATAAAAATCCCATAGGTATGTCCCCATTTCGTCTCATTTTTGGAAAGCCATGTCATCTTCCTGTGGAAATAGAGCATAAAGCATTATGGGCTATAAAAAATTTATGTATGGATGAAAAATCAGCTGGTGGGCATAGAATTTTTCAGCTACATGAACTAGAGGAGTTGAGGAATGAAGCTTATGAAAATCATAGAATATATAAAGAAAAAACTAAAACTTTTCATGATAAATATATTAGCAGAAAAAAATTTGGTGTTGGACAAAAAGTGTGGTTATATGATTCTAGGCTGAAATTATTCCCAGGAAAATTAAAATCAAAATGGAAAGGGCCTTATGTGGTGGAAGAGACATATGATCATGGGGCTGTAATGATTAAAGATCCTAAAAGTGATCACAACTTTAAGGTAAATGGACAGCGGCTTAAACATTACATAGAACATGAACGCCTTGCAGAAAAAGAAATTTTATTATTAAAAGAAATTCAAGAGTAAGATCAAGGAGTCCAGCTGGAGACATTAAATTCAGCGCTCCATGGGAGGCAACCCATGGCTTTTATTTCATTCTGTTTGATGTTTTTAATTTTTTTTTAAGCTCTGTTTTTCTTAGATTTTCGCAGTACTTGTTTCTGTATTTGTTTTTTCGAAAAAGTGCAGGAGGAGGAGTGTAAGATGAAGTGGAAAATTAAAAACGAGGTTGAGGTGATGTCTTTCGGAGCTTTATCATTTATGACAACATTTTTAATGCTAAACTTTGCATATATGCATGCTTCATTTGAAAATTATATTTTCTGCATATTCTGTTTCGATTTTTCTGTGTCATTGAGGAGAATGTCATTTTTAAGTTGGGGGGTGAAGTATTCATTATTAATTTATGCTGTAGGACGATTAAGAACATGTGTTTGCATTTTATTCAACTTAGAACAGCAACTAAAAAAATAAAAAAAGATCGCCGAATTCGGAAAAACTGCAACATCTATTTTCTGGTTTTCTGTCAGGAACAACAGACTGTCAAAAACAGTAGACGAAAAAAACAACCCGAAATTTGAAATTATAGAGACCCTTTTCTCACATTTCAATCCCCTAGACATATATTACTGAAATTCGAAATTACAGCTATAAATAAGATAGTTTTGATTTATTTTTGACAAATTTATTGCTGCTAAAAATAGAACTGAAAACAGAAAACAGAACTGTCAGAACTATCTAATTTATAAATTTCTTACATCATATTGCATGCATGAAAAATTAAATCAATTAGATTGATTGATACCAAAAGATACTAGGAAGATTATTATTGAGTCAAAAGAATGATCTAGTAGCATGAAATGTTGGAATACTCCTTGGATACATGATAGATAACATGGATTTGATTTTACAGATTTTCACTTCATGATCTTGATGGATAATATTTACTTGATGTGAAAATTTGATTGATCATTTGAGTTTAATGGAGATTTTTGCACCCTGATCTATAGGACTTGTGAGGAGAAATCACTTATTTCGAAAAAAAAAAAAAAAGAAAAAAAAGAGAGCAATGTGAAAAATCTAGAAACGAAGAGTACACATGGAGGGTGTGAGACATCATTCTCATTGTCAAAAATTGTGCATAGAAAAACACTTGCTGAAAAATAAGTGGATAAAGTGAAAGCCCTGAAAATGAAGAGTATACATGGAGGGTATGAGACATCATTCTTATTGTCGAAATTTATCTATAGGAAAAGCTACTTATCCACTATATATAAAGAAAGAAGAAATATAGTGCAAACTTCAAAAATCAAGCCATAGAAAAAGGGAAATGTAGGATCAATATTATTCTTAGATGAGTATTGATAATTGGAACATTTTGTAAATACATCTATGAGTGAAGAAGTGATAAAGATGTGAATAGAAGAAGTGAAGTCTAGATTGTTATTCCAAGGAGTGTTTAGACATTTAAGTGCTTGACATCATTCTTAAATACTTGATATAAGAATCCAAAGTGTCTAAAGGTGCATCATTTCTAATTGTATTTTTTTCTTTCTGTATTGAAATATGATGTTTGAGATTTGTAAATTTTTATTTTCGTAATTCCATTGCTAAGGGACTAGCAATGATTTAAGTTGGGGGGTGTGATAAGTCTTCATTATCATGAGTTAATAATTAGTAAATAATATAGTTTTAGCCTTAACTCGTGATAAATAGACTTATAATTATGTTAAAGTGTGAAAAGTGGTTTTCAGTTGATTAATGTGATTTTTTGGGTAATTATGTGATTTTATACAAATTTATCTGATTTTTACAGTCTTACTTTTGAGATAAATGAGGAAAAAGAAATAAAAATATTGCAAAATGGGGGGACCCGCCGGCCAGCCGGGCCCGCAAGCGGGTCGAAAGCGCAGTCGGGAGTAGCCGCGAGCAGGGGCTCGAGCGGCTTAAGCTTGGACCGATAGGGGCACGTGTGCGCCACTCCCCTTCCACGTCACCGGTGGCCAGCTAGCTATGGGGCAAAGAGTGGTCGTACACGTGCAAGAAAGGGACTTGATTGCAAATATAATATTACTATATATTCACCAGAAACTTTGGCGCACAAGCGATGTCGAACTAAACTCACATCACACCTTCCATAGAACGGGCGGGCAACTAGTGCAGGTTCGAATCTTCCATGGGCCAAAACTCATATTTTTTATCTGATTATCGCGACTTTTCTACACAACGTCGGTGAAGGATTAAGCTACTAGAATTGCTAGATCATTGACAAAAACCTCGTCAACACAATTCGCGGAGCATTGTTACTAAAATTGTTGAGCGATTCATGATAAAAGGATCGCAAATTCATTGAGTAAAGCATCTCCAATTGATCGACGAACAAGCCATCATCAGAAAGAGGACGATCCACTAGGAGATGAGTCGCCACCTCCTGAGAGTGTACTGGATGCAATGAAGAGCCTCCTCTTGCTACGCGGACTTGAAGATGAAGCTCCTTGACACATGCCCCACCTCCATCCAACTCTTCTCCCTCGAGTGACAGCAGCCGAGGAGCTGCAAAGTCATCATTTTTCTACTCCGTCAAGTGACAACCACCAGAGAGATTCGATGACCCATTTAATTGATCTCTAGACTTCGCAAGGAGATCTAGAGATTGTCCATGTCGTCCTTGTCCAAGGAGAGTCTTCAAGGCCTTGGACACTACACGACGATCCTCCCAAACGCTCAGGATTCTGGTGCATCGCTGACGTATTGCCGCCCAATGCCGGAACTCTATTTTCCTACTTTCAACTTAATTTCTGCTTCATTAGTGATAATTTGTGTCATTTAAATTTATGCTTCATTCAATTATCATTCTTCCGACTTTTACAGATTTTAATTTGATCAATTAAATCATATGTAATCGCTTATGTAAGAATCACTGGGCGGAACTATGTTTCTACCCGATTCGCATTCGCCGGGCATTGACACCATCTTGACATCCGTACCCTTATTTCCCTTTTTTTGTGAATTTTAAATATATTTAATTTCATTTCCTAGTATAAAATTCATAGAAAATTGTATTCTTTGAAGAAAACTCTGAATAATTACTTGATATTATATTACATCCCTGTGATTGATCTGGAAAACTACCACTATTTTTCGAAGTTTTATTAAATTATAATTGATATATTTGTTCAGAAATACTTCTAAATATCTAAAAATTTGTATTTTCTAGTTTTATAAATTTTAACTTTACGTGATTTACTATACAACGACTAAGTCACATCAAATCTTGGCACCGTTGCTGGGGATGTATTACATAATATTTAGTATTTTTCTATTTTTCTCTTAGAGTATACAAAAAAACTAACTTTTATTTTATTTTCTTCTTGCCGATATTTTTTTTTAAAAAAAGAAGGAAACGAAGAGAAACAAGGCAAGGACTGGAGCATACTGAAGGAGGGTAGAAATTACTAAACTTTTTCCCTCAAGTTTATTTATTTTTTATGCATGGTAGAAGATCCTTGCATCCAAGGCTAGAAAATCCTTTCATTCTTTCAGTCAAAACTAAAAATCCGAAAGAAATATTAATTTTGATGGATTTTGAAGGAAGTACAAGTCAAACTGAAAACAATCCTATGGCCATGAAAAATCATTATATCCCTTATTCATTTCAAAGAGCATCAAAATATTAGAGTCCCATTAGCACCCACTATTCAATTCAAAAGAAATCCAGGAATTTTTCAAATGCTCCTTAATTTTCATGGATTACCTTTAAGGGAACCTCATCAACACTTAGAAAATTTTCATATGGTATGTGATTTAGTTAATCTCCCTCAAGTTACACCAGAAATTATTAAGATGAAATTATTTCTTCATACACTTAGGGACAAAGCTAGTCATTGACTATCCACATTAGATAGAGAATTAACTAGCTGGAAGGACATAGAACAGGCTTTTCTTCGAAAATTTTATCTCTTAGGTAAAACTCAAAATATGAGAAAACATATATAGAGTTTTTCTCAAAGACCAAGAGAAACTTTACATGAGACATGGGAAACATTCAATGATTTACTTAGAAAATGTCCTCATCATGCTATACCCAAGTGGCAGTTCAATAGAATTTTTTATGATAGATTATTAGAACAATATAGAAATATGGTTGATTCTATATGTGGAGGAAATTTTATGGAGAAAACCCCTGATGAGATTTATAGTCTTTATGAAAATTTAAGTGAAAATTTTAAAGATCAAGCCTCTTTTGAATTATATGACAAAGATAAGAAGAGAGGAATTTATGAATTACATCATGATGATGATTCTAAATTAAGAAATGAGGTTAATTAGATTAATAAAAGATTAGAAAATTTTAATTTACTTATTGACAATATTAGAAAGCCTCTTAGCCCTCAATTTAATTCAAATAATACGTCCTATGTATGCTAACAATGATTATTTTGAATTTCAATGTTGTAGTTTAGATCAATCATTTCACCATATGCAAGAACAAGTACAAGTAGATCATGGTCTTATAATCCTAATTGGAAGAATAATTTTTCATGGAAAGTCCCAAATAATATTCAAAATTCAGAAGCACTTAGACTCAATTCAAACTCGTAATGTTGTCCAAAACAAGAAAACAGATTTCAGAAAAATTAGTCCTCTCAAACCCAACCTGATACTATGGAAATGATGCAGCAAATAAGCCAAATGATGCGACAAACTATGAATCAAATGATGCTACAGCAGAAACAAATTATAGAGGCTCTTGGGAATAAGAGAGAAAGGGAGAACTACCTAGTCAGCCCATAGAAAACCAAGGAACTGCCCAGCAATAGGATTTCAGCAAGGGGAGTCTAGTAGCATGAATCTAGGAAAAAACCCACGAAATGAAAATGTTAGGACAGTGAATGCATTAAGGAGTGGTAAGATCTTACCTAATTCTTATCCCCAAACATTAGAAGAAAAAGAAAACGTGGACAGCCCAAAACAAAATCAAATAGGAGTAGAAGAGGATTTTATACATTCTACAAAGGAAATTTTGAAAGAGAGGACAACCATTCCATTTCCTAAAGCTCTAGAGCCTAGACAAAGAAAGAAAAAGGAACACAATGAAAAATAAGGAAAATTTTACAAGATGTGCAAATTAGTCTTCCTTTACTCACTGCCATTGAACATATTCCTGAATATGCTAGAGTTTTGAAAGAAATGTGTACACCAAAAAGGGCACCTAGAGTAGAAAAATTATCAATGTATGATAGTGCTTTATTATTAAATCAATTACCATATAAATTGAGAGATATGGGTGCCCCTTTAATTTCGTGTGATATTGGTGGATCCATTTTTCAGAATACATTACTTGACACTAGTACTTCTATTAATTTATTACTTGTAAGTATTTGTGATAAATTTAATATTGCTGATCTTAAACCTTCTACTACTACCTTACAATTTACTGATAGATTCATAAAACATCTTTAAAGTATTTTAAAAAATGTGATAGTGACAGTTAAAGGGTGTAAATTTTCAATTGATTTTGTAGTGCTAGAAATAGATTTTAATGGACAGTTTTATAATATACCAATCATCTTAGGGAGACTATTTTTACATACAACAAAGATGAATATTGATTTTCCCACAAGTATTGTGAATATTTCATGTGGAGATCAATTAGTAGAAATTAAAATTTTTGAGGTATCAAATGATCTTAAGAAATCCCAAGTATATTATTGTCATACCATAGATCTTCTAGATGATTTTGATGATCCAAATTTTATTGATGATTGTGTGCTAGAAGAATTAGAGAAATAGAGAATATAAATTTGGGAGAAAAGAAAGAGGAAGATCATCTGAATTTAGAGTTGAAACCTCTTTCCTCTAGTTTAAAATATATATTTTTGGAGGAAAATAATTCATTTCCTATTATTATTGCAGCTGATTTGAGTGATGAACAGGAAGAAAAATTATTAGATATACTTTGAAAAAATAAGAAGGCTATGGGCTGGAAAATGGATGATCTAAGGGGCATTTATATGAGTGTATGCATACATAGTATATATCTGAAGGAGGGGGCTAGAACTAGCAGGGAACCACAACGAAGATTAAATCCTAACATGATGAAAATTGTAAAAAAAAAAAATATTTAAGTGTCTGGCAACTGATATTATTTATCCTATTTCAGATAGCAAATGGGTTAGTCCTTCACAAGTGGTGCCAAAAAAATTAGGGATCATTGTTATAAAAGATGAAAATGGGGATGAAATACAAACAAGATTAACTACCGGTTGGAGGGTTTGTGTTGATTATATAAAATTAAATTAAGTTACTAGAAAATATCATTTTCTTCTATCATTTACTCATCAAATTCTAGAAAAATTAGTTGGAAAAAACTTTTTTTTTCTAGATGGAAACTCTAGTTATAATCACATTTATATAAACCCTTTAGATCAAGAAAAATAACTTTCACTTGTCCATTTCGTACTTTTGCTTTTAAATGCATGCCTTTTGGTCTGTGTAATGCTCTAGCCACATTTCAAATATGTATGCTGTCTATTTTTTCTGATGTGACTAGAAAATGCATGGAAATTTTTATGGACGATTTTTCTATTTTTGGTGAATCATCTGATGAATGCTTAAATCATTTACAACATGTACTTGAGAAATGTATAGAGAAAAAATTAGTTTTGAGTTAGGAGAAATCACATTTTATGGTTAGAGAGGGAGTTGTGTTGGGTCATATTGTGAGTGAAAGGGGTTTAGAGGTGGATAGAGCAAAAATTGATATTATATCTAAAATGAAACCTCCAAATTTAGTAAAACAGATTAGATCTTTCTTAGGTCATGCAGGTTATTATAGAAAATTTATTCAAGATTTTTTGAAAATTTCTAAACCTCTTATTAATTTAAAGATGTGCCTTTTAATTTTGATGATAAATGTTTTGAGTCTTTTCTGAAATAAAAAGATTACTTACTGAGGCACTCATTTTACAAGCTCCTGATTAGTCCTTTACTTTTGAAATAATGTGTGATGTATCGAATTATGCAGTGGGGGCCATTCTATGACAAACAAAAGAGTCAAAACCTATAGTAATTTCATATGCTAATAAAACTATATCTGATGCTCAATTAAATTATACCACGACTGAAAAAAAGTTGTTAGCTATAGTATTTTTGTTAGAAAGGTTTAGATCATATATTTTGGGAGCTAAAATTATTATTTATACTGATCATGCAATATTAAAATATTTGTTAAATAAGAAAGATGCAAAGTCACATTTATTAAGATGAATTTTATTGTTGTAGGAATTTGACTTAGAAATAAAAGATAAAAAAAGTTTTGAGAATGTTGTTGCTGACCATCTTTCTAGATTAAGTGATACAAGAATAAATGCAGCACTTTTACAAGACGCATTTCTAGATGAACAATTGATGGCAGCTCAACATCAACCATCACCATGGTATGCACATATTGTTAACTTTCTGATTTCTGGAAAAATTTCAGAGTAGTGGGATAAGAACAGAAAACATCATTTCTTTTCTAAGATTATAAATTATTTTTGGCATGATCTTGATTTATATTACTTAGGCAATGATCAAATTTTAGGGAGATGTGTTCCTAAAGAAGAATATCATAGCATTATTAACATGTGCTATTCATCAAACTATGGAGGACATTTTTCTTGAGAAAAAATAGCTGCAAAAAATTTTCAGTGTGGTTTTTATTGGCCTACAATCATTAGAGATTCTATAGAATTTAGTAGAACATGTATTTCATGCCAATCTATAGGTAACATAAGTAAAAAAGATTAAATGCCCATGAGTAACATGTTAGTAGTCGAAATTTTTGATGTATGGGGAATAGATTTCATGGGTCACTTCCCATCAGCTGAAAAATATGAATATATTTTGCTTGCTATTGATTATGTGTCGAAGTGGGTGGAAGTTATTCCTACTAGAACTAATGATCATAAAATCGTGATGAAATTTGTGCAGGAAAATATTTTTTCGAGATTTGGATGTCCTAGAGTGATTATTAATGATGAAGGAACATATTTTACAAATAAACATTTTAAGGAACTATTGAAAAAGAATGGAGTACACCATAGAGTAGCCACTCCATATCATCCCCAAACAAATGGGTAAGCTGAAGTAGCAAATAGGGAAATTCAAATAATTTTGAGAAAAATAGTTAGACCAGATAGGAAAGATTGGCCCACAAAATTACAAGATGCATTATGAGCTCATAGAATAGCTTATAAAAATCCCATGGGTATGTCCCCATTTTGTCTCATTTTTGGAAAGCCATCTCATCTTCTTGTGGAAATAGAGCATAAAGCATAATGGGCATTAAAAAATTGATGTATGGACGAAAAATCAGCTGGTGGGCATAGAATTTTTTAGCTACATGAACTAGAGGAGTTGAGGAATGAAGCTTCTGAAAATCATAGAATATATAAAGAAAAAACTAAAACTTTTCATGATAAATATGTTAGCAGAAAAAAAATTGATGTTGGACAAAAAGTGTGGTTATATGATTCTAGGCTGAAATTATTCCCAAGAAAATTAAAATCAAAATGGAGAGGGCCTTATGTGGTGAAAGAGACATATGATCATGGGGCTATAATGATTAAAGATCTTAAAAGTGACCATAACTTTAAGGTAAATGGACAACGACTTAAACATTACATAGAACATGAATGCCTTGTAGAAAAAGAAATTTTATTATAAAAAAAATTTCAAGAGTAAGATCAAGGTGTCTAGTTGGAGACATTAAATTCAGCGCTGCATGGGAGGCAACTCATGGTTTTTATTTCATTCTATTTGAATTTTTTAAGCTCTGGTTTTCTTAGAATTTCATAGTACTTGTTTTTGTATTTGTTTTTTTGGAAAAAGTGCAGGAGTGTAAGATGAGGTGGAAAATTAAAAACGAGGTTGAGGTGATGTCTTTCTGAGCTTTATCATTTATGATAATATTTTTAATGATTAACTTTGTATATATATATGCTTCACTTGAAAATTATATTTTCTGCATATTTTGTTCTTATTTTTCTATGTCATTGAGAACAATGTCATTTTTAAGTTAGGGGTTGAAGTATTAATTATTAATTTATGCTGTAAGATGATTAAGAACATGTGTTTACATTTTATTTTTATTTTTTCATGCTCACTTAGAACAGGAACTAAAAAAATAAAATAAAATTCAGAAAAACTATAACATCTATTTTCTGGTTTTCTGTCAAGAACAACAAACTGTCAAAAATAAGAAACAAAAAACAGTCCAAAATTTGAAATTCTAGAGACCCTTTTCTCACATTTCAATCCCCTAGACATATATTACTGAAATTCCAAAATTATAGCTATAAAGAGAATAATTTTGATTTATTTTTGACAAATTTATTGTTGCTAAAAATAGAATTGAAAAGAGAAAATATAACTATTAGAACTATCTAATTTACAAATTTCTTACATCATATTACATGCATGAAAAATTAAATCAATTAGATTGATTGATACCAAAAGATACAAGGAAGATTATTATTGAGTCAAAAGAGTGATCTTGTAGCATGAAATGTTGGAATACTCCTTGGATACATGATAGATAACATGAATTTGATTTTACAGATTTTCACTTCATGATCCTGATAGATAATATTTACTTGATGTGAAAATTTGATTGATCATTTGAGTTTAATAAAGATTTTTGCACCCTAATCTATAGGACTTGTGAGGAGAAATCACTTATTTCAGAAAAAAAAGATAAAGAGTAATGTGAAAAATCTAGAAACGAAGAGTACACATGGAGGGTGTGAGACATCATTCTCATTGTCGAAAATCGTGCATAGAAAAACACTTGCTGCAAAATAAGTGGATAAAGTGAAAGCCCTGAAAATTAAGAGTACACATGGAGGGTGTGAGATATCATTCTTATTGTCGAAATTTGTCTACAGGAAAAGCTACTTATCCACTATATATATATAAAAAAAAAGAAGGAAGAAATATAATGCAAACTTTAAAAATCAATCCATGAAAAAAAGGAAATGTAGGATCAATATTATTCTTGGATGAGTATTGATAATTGGAACATCTTCTAAATATATCTATGAGTGAAAAAGTAATAAAGATGTGAACAGAAGAAGTGAAGTCTAAATTGTTATTTCAAGGAGTGCATAAACATTTAAGTGCTTGACATCATTCTTAAATACTTGATATAAGAGTCCAAAGTGTCTAAAGGTGCATCATTTCTAATTGTATTTTTTTTTAATGTATTTAAATATGATTTTTGAGATTCGTAAATTTTTATTTTTGTAATTACAATGCTAAGGGACTAGCAATGATTTAAGTTGGGGGGTGTGATAAGTTTTCATTATCATGAGTTAATGATTAGTAAATAATATAGTTTTAGCCTTAACTCATGATAAATAGACTTATATTTGTGTTAAAGTGTGAAAAGTGGTTTTTAGTTGATTAACGTAAATTGTTGGGTAATTATGTAATTTTATAAGAATTTATATGATTTTTATAGTTTTACTTTTGAGATAAATTATGAAAAAGAAATAAAAATAAAAATAAGACAAAATAGGGGGAACCCGCCAGCCAGCCGAGCCCACAAGCAGGTCAGAAGCACAATGGGGGAGGAGCCGCGAGTAGGGGCTCGAGCAGCTAAGAACGATAGGGGCTTTTGTGCGCCACTCCTCTTCCACGTCATTGGTGGCCAGCCAGCTGTGGGGCAAGGAGTGGTCGTACACACGCGAGAAAGGGACTTTATTGCAAATATATTATTACTATATATTCACTAGAAACTTTGACGCATAAACGATGTGGGACTAAACTCGCGTCACACCTTCCCCAGAAAGGGCAGGCAACCGGCAATGGTTCGAATCCTCCCAGAGCTAAAAGTCATATTTTTTATCTAATTATCGTGACTTTCTTGTAGATCGTCGGTGAAGGATTAAGCCACGAGAATTGCAGGATCATCAGCAAAAATCTCATTAATGCGATTTGCGGAGCATTGTTACTTAAATTGTTGAACAATTCATGATAAAAGGATCGCGAATCCATCGAGTAAAGCATCTCCGATTGATCGATGAACAAGTCGTCGTCGGGAAGAGGACGATCCGTCGAGAGACGAGTTGCCACCTTTTGAGAGCATACCGAATGCAATGAAGAGCCTCCTTTTGTTGTGTGAACCTAATGATGAAGCTCCTTGACACGCGCCTCACCTCCATCTAGCGCCTCTTCGTCAGGTCACAGCTGCCGGAGAGCCACAAAGTCGTTGTTTTTTCTCTTTGTCAGGTGACAACCGCCGAAGATGATTTAATGACCCATTTCATTGATCTCTAGACTTCGCAAGGAGAGCTAGAGATTGTTCACGTCGTCCTTGTCCAAGAAGAGCCTTTGAGGCTGTGGACATTGCACGATGATTGATAAGTCTTCATTATCATGAGTTAATAATTAGTAAATAATATAGTTTTAGCCTTAACTCATGATAAATAGACTTATATTTGTGTTAAAGTGTGAAAAGTGGTTTTCAGTTGATTAATGTTAATTTTTAGGTAATTATGTGATTTTACATGAATTTATATGATTTTTACAGTCTTGCTTTTGAGATAAATGAAGAAAAATAAATAAAAATAAGACAAAATGAGTGGGGGACCCGCCGGCCAGCCGGGCCCGCAAGCGGGTCGGAAGCTCAGTCGAGGAGTAGCCGCGAGCAGGGGCTCGAGCAGCTTGGACCAATAGGGACAACGTGTGTGCCACTCCCCTTCCACGTCACCGGTGACCAGCCGGCTGTGGGGCAAGGAGTGGTCGTACACGCAAGAGAAGGAACTTTGCTTAGAAAGCTAACATTACTATATATTCGCCCGAAAAATCGGAGCACAACCGATGTGGGACTAAACCCACGTCACACCTTCCTCAGAAGGGCCGGACAACCGGCGCAGGTTCGAATCCTCCCAGAGTCAAAATTCATATATTTTTATCTGATTATCGCGACTTTCCTACAGATCGCCAGTGAAGGATTAAGCAACGAGAATCGCTAGATCATCGGCGAAAATCTTGTCAACGTGATTCGCAGAGCATTGCTACTAAAATTGTTGAACGATTCGTGATAAAAGGATCACGAATCCATCGAGTAAATCATCTCCAATTGATCGACGAATAAGCCGTTGTCGGGAAGAGGACGATCCGCCGGGAGACGAGTCGCCACCACTTCAGAGCATACCAGATGCGATGAAGAGCCTCCTCTTGCTGTGCGGACCTGAGGATGAAGCTCCCTGACATGCACCCCACCTCCATCCAGCTCCTCTCCATCAGGTGACAACTGCCGAAGAGCCGCAAAGTCGCTGTTATTCCGCTTCCGCCGGGTGACAGCCACCGAAGACGATTCGACGACCCATTTCATTAATCTCTAGACTTTGCGAGAAGATCTAGAGATTGCCCATGTCATCTTTGTCCAAGGAGAGCCTTTGAGGCCGTGGACACTACACGACGATCCTCCCGAACGCTCAGGATTCCAGTGCATCGCCGACGCATCGCCGTCGCGACGCCGGAACTCTATTTTCCTACTTTCAACTTAATTTTCATTTCATTTAGTGATAATTTGTTGATTTTAAATTTACCAACATATACTTCATTTCATTACGATTCTTCCGTCTTTTACTGATCTTAATTTGATCAATTAAATCGTTTGTAATCGCTTATGTAAGAGTCACCAGGCGGAACTCTGTTTCCGCCCAATTCGCGTTCGCCGAGCACTAACATCATCCTGACGCCCGCACCCTTATTTCCTTTCTTCGTGAATTTTAAATATATTTCCTTTTCATTTCTTAGTATAAAATTTATATAAAATATTATTCTTTGAGGAAAATTCTGAATAATTACCAAATATTATATTACATCCCTGTGATCGACCTGGAAAATTACTACTATTTTTGTAACTTATATTGAATTATAATTGATATATTTGTTCAGAAATACTTCTAAATATCCAAAAATTCGTATTTTCTAGTTTTATAAATTTTATATTTGCGTGATTTAATATACAACGACTAAGTCACGTCAAGAATCTATAAAATCCTCTTCTACTCCTATTTGATTTTGTTTTGGGCTGTCCACGTTTTTCTTTTCTTCTAATGTTTTGGGAT